GCACAAATGCCTGTCGGTTCACGCTTCATGCAGTATTCAAATGCAACAAAATACAGAAGTTTTTTTGCAGATTTCATTTAGGCGAAATATTAGGTGCGACTCGTTCCAACCGTTCCCGCCGGCAAGAGTCACCCACGTTTCTGTTTCGAAATCTGTGTCCAAGCTCAAAAATGCTTGTTCAGACCAATACCCTTTATGTGAGACCGCTTCAGTCACAGTTTGCTCAACATTCTAAGATTTCTAAAAACAGAAGTGTCTCCAAGCACGAAATCAAGCGAGGTGTACTGCATGGAAACAGGGATAAAGCACAGAAATATCACCTCAAGTGATTACGACTTAGGTCTGGATCATGAAGTGGCTATGAACTGAAGGTCATTACAAATTACGTCAATGACTCGCGAAAAGGGTCATAAAATACCACGAAGGCTGGGGTAGGGGGAGCTAGATCCAGACCTAGCTGAGGATCCTAGTCCGAGGCCCGAGGCCCGAGGCTCGAGAATCCAAGCGCGAGGCCCGAGGCCCGAGGATCCTAGCTCGAGGCCCGAGGATTCTGCCCGAGGCCCGAGGATCCTAGCTCGAGAACCGAGGATCCTGGCCCAAGGCCCGAGGATCGTAGCTGGAGGCCCGAGGATCCTGCCCGAGGCCCGAGGATCCGGCTCACAGCGCCGCATGCTACTGGTGCTGGTCTACACCCGCGCCACCGGCCGTCAGGGCATGATTACCGCCCGCCAAGTGAAGCCAGTGTGAAACAGAGCTCGGGCACCCGCCTTCGGTACAGATGGTTACATGTCATGTGTCCATGCTGTGTTCGCTCAACAAAATGCCGACAGAACCACTAGCCCCGCCACCTCCCTCCATCTGCAGGGTACATGTCAAGTGTGACCACATACATAGCTGCACCCTTTCCTCATGCTGCGCTGTCTCTCCCCGCGTATGGCTTGGCACCCGTAGAGACATCCTTTGGTGATCTTTGTGTGCATGTTTTGTCATATATTTTGTACCGGCTGTTTCATCGCTGCAGCGTTCAAGACTTGGACAGCTTTGAACGCTGCAGCTTTGAACGCTGAATTTAATTCCGCTATTGTTTCGATAAAGGCATACTGCTGAAATGTTAACCTAACTATATCTTCATTCTCCTGGTTTTTACCGAAGAATAAGGCCAATACTACTGTCTTATCTTTCACAGCTTTGACGTCTTTCCCTTGGTTATCAACTCCACATACTGACGAAGAGCGGCAAATATCTCCGAGGGCTCCGTAGCTGCCTTTTCACTCGTAAAGTAATAGTCCTTGTCTGACTTGTGAAGTCCTCCAAAATATTTATATTTGCCTCTCACTTCATACCGTGACATTCAGAGCAATTGCATTGTCATGCATTCCACATTGCGTCGATGTCACCGTAATATTGAACAAGCATTTGATGGATCTTGTGACCCTGCTGCTCTCGAGGCGATGTTTGCATTGGTTGGTCCGGTGTGTTTGGGCAGGACTCGTCTGGGGCTGGCTGGGTGGCCTGGCTGCTCGCCCGTTTTGCCAGGGCAGACCTGTGACAGTTGAGACTCCAGGGAAAGCTCCAAGATCAGCAACCGACGATGCACGCCGTAAGACCTTCTGTTGGCTCTGCAACATTGGTCTGAAATTTTTAGGTCATCTCATCGCCATTTTGACGATCGGAGAACGCTGAGAGGGGATTTGCTCTTGACTTGATGCACGGATAAGCCCGCCTCCTTAGAGGGGATGACATTGGAACCAGCGCATCCTCCCAGCCACAGACTCTGCGACAGTTGCACCTGTGGACTTGACACGCACTTCATCACGAGGAGTGACTGTGCAAGTCCGTGCGCTGCACGGCTATCTGCCCCCCCCCCCCCCCCCCCCCCGGAAGCTTCGGTGGCGTTCTCTCACGGTGCGGAGGCGAGGTTCGGGTGTTTGGCGCCATTTTATCTAGATTTGGCGCGGGAGCTGCACCGGCATCCGCCCACGTGGACGTGCCGTGAGCAAAGTAGAGGCCTTGGCGGGTAAGGTCTCCTTGACTAAATTATCGCTACCAGTCAGGCTGTGGCCATACGCATTCACTTGCCAGCTCCTTTTAGCTGTATTCAGCATCTACCCATCCCTTTCCACTTGCATTCAAATACGCGTTTCCCCTTCATCCTCATTTTCAAAGGCCTTAATCTTGGATTAGGATACAAAACTACAGATTTATATCTGGGTGGCCACCTTTTATGTCAATAATTTCAAAATTAGCATGGATGTGGCTCATTCCAGTTTATTGAATCGAAGCTCATCATCACGTGTGATATTTACTGAAGCATCTTCGCGAAATGTCAAAGGGGGTCATCTTCGCGAACAACCGATACTCACCACCCTGCTTGCAGTTTTCCCAAAAATGTGTGCCCCACTCAGTACCTGCCGATTTACGGGGGCACTAATGCTTTTGCCCAACACTTGAAGGTCTTCGGGATACGGACCTTGAGTGAATCCACATAGAATCCACTTCTAACACAAAAACTTATACGTGCCTTTATTTCTACACAACAAAGCCTCTAACCCAAAAATTCAACGCGCCCTTCATTCTAATGCAAAAGACTATAACTCATAAACTTCTATGAAACAAAACTTCTACGTGTAATCACTCTCAGGCGACAAAACATTTGAAGTGAAAACTTCTGATTCGAGAACTTCGAACGTGAAAAGCTGTAATGCAAAACTTTCTGACGCATAGGCTTTAAACGCTTAAGCTTCTACGCGGTAAAACTTCTAACGCAAAGAATTATACGCGACATTGCTTCTGACACAAGATTTTCTAATGCATGAACTGCTGGGCGACAAAATTTTTGACCCCAGAACGTCTAACCGGAATAACGTGAATGGACTCCCATTTAAGGTACGGGGAGTGTGTTCCAAAGTCTGGACCTTAGCGTTTCTCACCGACAGAGCTCTCTCACCGCCTCTGCAAGGCCTAGCCCTCCTTTTTCACTTCTGGGATTCTCTTCTCACTACCACTTCCAACGTTTTACTGTTGGTCAGAACCAGGAAGTGACGTCTCCCTTCCCAATAGCCGACAAATATAGCTTTCTCCGGATCTGGCATAGTTGCTTTTTAAAATTTTTGCGTGCTGGAGCCCAAATTGGGGCTGAGGGGGGGGGTCGGACTGGAGCACTGACAACTGAATCGGAAACCACGCCGCTGTCTCAAAGTCATCCGCGTGACGCAGGAGGCTCTGTCATCGACATTCTTGAACACTTACCACTTCTTTATTCGGCTAATAGACCCCATGGCTGACACAGAAGCCTCCGTCTGGCATGGTAGGAGAGATCCTGCTCAGTAACTCTGGAACTCCCAGGTCTAGAGAAGGCTCCCAGGTCGAGAGAGGAACTCCCAGGTCAAGAGAGAGGGTCCTCTGTCGCGAGAGGGTCTCCCAGGTCGAGAGAAGGACTTCTAGGTCGAGAGAGGGGCTCCCAGGTCAAGAAAGGGGTTCCCAGGTCGCGAGAGGGATTCTCAGGTCGAGGGAGGTACTCCCAGGTCAAGAGAGGGGCTCCAAAGTCGAGAGAGGGGTTTCCCTTTGCCTCAGGGGCCCCGAGTGAAGCAGTTGTGGGCCCCATTACTGGCATTCGAGGGTCATAGCCCTGTTCTTGTTCAGTTATAGTGCCGGGACGCCATGGTCGGTAGAGGGGCCCCTGAATAAATCAGGAGCCCCTGAGCGACGCCGAAGAAGGCTCTCCGACGCGCTTCGGTTTCGCTAATGATGCTGTTTGGCATATAGGTAGCTGCCCAGCATCGGTTTCCCGTTAAGTATCGGGGTCACCTTATAAGTTCTGGGACCTCTTACTGACAGACAGCGCCCGATAATGCTCCAGAGGCCCCAAAACCCCGGTTAGCCCTACGAGCCTTTCGGGCATCAGGGGTCAAGCGACGGGGCCTCCGATCCATGAAGGGAGCTAAGCCCCCAGAGCCCCTTGTATCTAGCCCTGGCTGTGTTGATGTCTTGCTGTTTAGCAGCTCACGTGACACCAGAGGCAAGTATGAAAGGTTTGCATTGGATGATTTTATGCGTTAGAAGCTTTTGCATAAGACGCAATGTTGTGCATAACGTTTTGCGTTAGACCTTTAATCACATGAATAAAAACTGCGTGTAAAAGAGTTGCACGATACCTTTGTTGCATATAGGTTTATGCGTTAGAAAAGTTTGCATAAGAAGCGGATCGAGTACAAGTTTATGTGGTAGAAGTCTTGTCGCGTGCAAGTAATGTCGTGCGGAAGTTCTTGTGTTAAAAGTTCGCTGAGTTAGAAGGTTCTGCATAAGTCCTTGCGTTAGAAGAAATGTCGCGGGTAAGCTTTTGCGTTAAAACATTTCTGGTGCTGAAGTGATGTCGTGTAGAAGTCTTTGCGTTAACACTTCTGTCACGCAGATGTTTACACGTTATAAGTTACTGCATTAAAATCAGTGTCGTGTAGAAGTTTTGTGTTAGAAATTTTGTCGCATATAGAAAGTAATCCCGCGCAAATGCGTTATAGTTAGACTTGCTGTCGCGTGGGAGTTTATGCATTAGAAGTTCTTGCGCTCAAAACTCTTGCATTGTAAGGGCAACCGTGTTGAACCAAACAACAACGGCAACCAACGCTGTATTGAAGTCGTGACGTGAAAATTCCGTGGTTCGGAGTACTTGTGTTGGAAACATCGCTTGGATGGGGTTGATCGATGCGTCCGGAAACGGTCCTCATTACTCCCCCTTTACAGCTTGTTAGGGTACTGCTGACCAACTTGTGCGCGCATACCTTTGCTAAATGGACCTAACGGGCTGCAGAAATTTGCCTACAAACAGCTTCGCACGTACTTACTTTTTCCATGCCAACTTAATTCCTGCTACCAAAGTACTCATATTAAATGGTACAGAAGTACTAAAAAAATAAGTTCCACCTGTCCATCACATTGGCTGGTTCAAATCCTGCGCAACTGTGTCAAACACAAGAATGCCCAATTTTGGGTTACCGGGGGCGCTTGGGGCATTCACCATGCGCGCATGACGTTGAGGGGCTGTGGGTTGTGAGTGCTGTTGGGTATGTAATGTATACATACATGCGTATGTATGTATATATGCATAACGTTATGATAACGGATCTCCTCGGTATGCTGTTACATGGCCTGGTTGCTGTGGCTGATTGTTTCTCTCATGCGTCGTGTTATTGTGGTCCACACGTTTTCTTTAGCATAATTAAAACTTGAGTATTGAGGGGACCTTTGCTTATCCAGTGCACAGTCTACTGGCTTTAGAAAATAATGTTTTGTAGGAAGCAATAGAAATATGGTAAAGGGTAGGATCACACCTACCTTACATCTAATCCCACCTAAGGTTCCATACTCCCTCTCTGATACTGTAAGATTGCAGAGGGACTGGTGTATGTGCACGCACAACTTTGCTTAAAACTGCAGTATGTGGTATAAACTATCATAGTAGGCAGTGGTCACCAGTCAGCACATGCAGATATTTAAGGTACACATGCTTCTCTAGACCAGGACCTCAGTCAGAATCATCATTTCATCTGTGATGTTAGTACATTGTCATAATATTTCTCTAAAAGTGTAGGCCGATCCTCAGTAATGTTGTGCAATATATCCCATTGCCAGATTACCACCACCCTACATTGTTGATTTGTGCCACTGCTACATACAATTGCTTGCATTACTATTAACTGTGATATCTATTTTATGGTTTAATTATGTTGGAAATTTACAGAAAATATGTGGTATTTGCCACAATTTGAACTGACTCTTTCAGGCACCTTGCGGCATTTTACCCTGTATGTTTTCTAAAGCCAGTTCTGTTTCAGGTCTTGTTCTACCCATGGTGGAGTGGAATGGCCCCAGCCCAGCTGCAGCTTACACTGGCTATATTCAAACCAGATATAACTAGGATCCCACTCTTTGTGGAGGTGTGTTGCTGTGTGTTGTTGCTATGGGTGATAATGACCCCTTAGCAAGTTGCAGTGGGTTTTGTTATTCACAGCACTGCCACGTGAACGCTTCTGTGCCATTATATGTGTTTTGGTGTTTTGTTGGTTACCATCCTCTTGAAAATCTGAAATGCTTGCCAACTCAAGTAATTGGTTATTGGAGATGGCAGTAGTGGCTTAAGTAAATGCAAGTGTTTCAACCCTCAAACCTGATGTGATATTGCAGTTGGCATGCCCCTAAACTCCAATAAACAACAACAAATTGATGTGATATTGTGCTCCTCACCCACCCTATTGGACAACTTTAACATGTTCTGTCTGACCCTCCCTTGCATGCATCAGGTCTCAGTTCTTCCCAGGGGCCTCTTCCTGTTTTTCTGGTCTTGAAGGCATGTAAGTGTTAATGATTGCTGGTGATTTGCTTTCTAGTGTTGTTTTCTGATTTGGTTACTAGTGGCTTGAGAGTATTTCACCTCTTACACAGTCAGCTCCATGTCAAATGTGCATTTTTACAGCAATCTCCTCATCCAACCTCTCCTCCCCACCTGACCTCCAGCCCTGACGGCTGTCTGATTCTTTGGGGGCCACAAGTCCCCACTGTGCTGACTTCAGGCTTCTCCTTCACCAGGTTTCATGGTGGGTTGTCTTCCGAACCTGCTGTGCATAACCATCACCCTTCACCCCTCGGCTGCGACCTCAGCCTGCCACTATGCCCCCGGCCCGCCGCCGTGACCCCGGCCCGCCGCCGTGACCCCGGTCCGCCGCCGTGACCCCGGTTCGCCGCCGTGACCCCGGCCCGCCGCAGTGACCCCGGCCCGCCGCCGTGACCCCGGCCCGCCGCTGTGACCCCAGCCCGCCGCCGTGACCCCGGCTCGCTGTTGTGACCCCGGCCCGCCTCGGGGCGTATGCCCTCAGGCCGTCCGAGCGAGGCTGCTGCAGAGCGGCTTCCTGCTGCCCCGGAGCCGCCAGCTGACACTGAGCCGGGAGCGGGCCGAGCTGTTCTACGCCGAGCATCGAGGCCGCTTCTTCCACCGCCGGCTCGTCACATTCATGTCAAGGTCAGCGCCGCGGTGGTGACCTTCCACCGCCGGCTCGTCACGTTCATGTCAAGGTCAGCGCCGCGGTGATGACCTCGTGCAAAGGCCAGGGGATGGGCGGGCAGCATTTTGTCAAGGCTGGTCTGGGCGCCGTGTGGACAGGACAGCCCGCGCGCCTTAAAGCCCAAATGATCGTCGTCACCATGTCAAGGCTGGTGGCCTAACTGGTCTTACGTCCAGGTGATAGGTCCCGTGGTGTCCAGGTCGTCGGCTCTGTGGCCTTTGTCAGGATGTAGAGATAGGTGGTGACGTTAACAATGAGATAAGTGGTTGTATGCTTGTCACGTCGTGGCGAGGGTTTCAATGGCCACCAGCATATAAAGAGCAGTGATGGATTGGCTCTTTCTGTGTCTGGTTGAGGTGGTGACCTTGATGCCCGAGGTCAAGGACGAAAGGTGGCCATTTGTGCCTGTGTCGTCACGGTGCGTGGGTGCTGTCCGATTCTCTCTCACATGACCAGGCAGGGTTTATTGCTTACTGTAGTGTGCACTGCTGCATTACCTGCTGTGTACATTTTTTATTGTACTGTACTCATCGCTTACTGCACCTGTATCGGGCCTGCCCTCTGATGCACCAGCTTAAACCTTTCCATAAAGCCTCTCTAGCTGGTGTGCACCAACTGTACCAAAACCTGCCCTTTGATTGGTTCACTTGTACAAAGCCATTCCTCCGAGCCCGCTGATTGGCGGTCGTGCGCTGGCAGCGGGCCAATCTGGGCGCACGTGCTGGCGCGCGAGGACGCGATCACCGCCTGGCGCCACCTGATGGGACCGACCAAGGTGTTCCGGGCGGTGTACGAGCGGCCGGACAGTCTGCGGGCCCGTTACGGCCTGACCGACACCAGGAACGGCCTACACGGCTCAGGTCAGCTCAGGGCGAGAGTGAACTGCACGGCTCAGGTCGGGGCGGGAACGGCCTGCATGACTCAAGGGCAGGAGCGCCCTCCAATGCTCAGGACGGACGCAGTTCAGGTCAGGTCAGGTCAGCCCCAGGGCTCAGCTCCAGGCCGGACCCTGCCCCGTAGCGGTGGGACTTCAGCTCGGGCGCAGCAGCGCCATCTTCGTCGTCCTGGCGGTGTCCCGGTCTCTTCTTGATGGAAGAGCCCGGCCTGCTGCCACACGAGCCGATTGCTGTGTGGCGGCTTTGGACGGCAGGTGCTCTCAGCGTGCTCTCCCGTGACATCACGGATCGGGGATCTGAAGAGATGGTCACGTGGTTCCCGCGGTCGGCCTGAAGGCGGCCTCCGTGCTGTGGTGGGAAGTTCAGTTTGAATGTTTGAATGCCTGCAACGCCTGAAGATGCTGGCTGTTTGCTCCACGGAAAGTCTGGGAGCGGCAGAGATCCATGTGCGCATTGATCTAGGCCTGCTTCAATCCTTACCGACCGGCCTTACCGGATCCCGCTGTCCAACCTCAGCGAACCCAGCTGACCGGCCTCACCGAACCCACCTGACCTCACCGAACCCCGCTGATCGGCCTCATCGAACTCCGCTGACCGACGTCATCGAATCCCGCTGACCGGCCTCATCGAACCCAGCTGACCGACCTCACCGAACTCCGCTGACCGACGTCATCGAATCACGCTGACCGGCCTTACCGAACCCAGCTGACCGACCTCACCGAATCCCGCAGACCGATCTCACCGAACCCCGCTTGTGCCTCCAGACTCGCCAGAGTCGGCCGCCCGCGAGATCGGTTTCTTCTTCCCGGAGTTCGACCAGTCCGGCTGGCTGGCGCAGCGGGAGCCGCAGCTGGAGCGGCGAGTGCGGTCCCGCGTCGACCGCGCGCTCTCGACGTCACCGCGTGACGTCATCGGCGACGCTCGGCCGGATGACGTCACTGACAGCAGCTGTTGGCCGGGTGACGTCACCGACAGCAGCTGCCAGCGACGTTTGTGACGTGTAGCCGATCTCCGGCGCCGCAGCGCTGACGCGAGCCCGCGAAGTTCATTAGCTGAGGAGTGACGTCAGACATCGGCTGCGGTGTGACGTCACCCCGCCGATGAACTCCGAGAGGCGTCTGCACGTGTAATGGCGTTGTTTATGCTTTTCATAGTCAGTTAGTTCTGTTGTATGTGATATAATGCTAAGTCACCTTTAAAACAAGTCTTTTCATAGCTTTGGCTTTGGTGGACCTGAAAGTGGCCTTGACTGCTTTTAGAGCTCGCTGCAATGACACATCAGATTTTATGAATAAATGAACGTGTGCACTGTGTGCACGATATGAACGCCTCGATCATATGCTGCCTCACAGAGGCGCAGTTCCCTCTTCAACAGAGCCGTACGACCTGAAGTAGTTGTCTTGCACACTCGGTGGCCGTCAGCGCAGTCTGGTTTCTCGCTCTATCACGCGTGGGAGACTTGCCTGATTGCGATAACCACGCTAGCCACGAAGGAGGGACCGGGGCCAGGTCTGCGTGGACCCGGCTTCGCAAGCTGCACAGCTCAACAGCGCCCTTGACGATGTTGAGCCGGTTCGTGGCAGCTCCGTAGGCCTGGTCCGGCCCGAATGGTGTTCACCCGGGCGCGTGGCATCGAAGGACTGCGGACCCGTGTCTGTGTCGTGGCAATCGAGGGTGGCCCGGCGGACTACCTGTGGTCGTGGCATCGAGGGTGGCCCAGCGGACCGGTCTGTGTCGGGGCATCGGAGGGTGGCCCAGCGGACTGTCCTGGTGTCGTGGCATCGTGGCCCAGGGACCGGTTTGCATCGAGGTGTCCCGGCGGACTACCTTGTCGTTGGCATCCGAGGGTGGCCCAGCGGACTGTCTGTGTCGTGGCATCGAGGGTGGCACGGCGGACTACCTGTGTCGTGGCATCGAGGGTGGCCCAGCGGACCGGTCTGTGTCGTGGCATCGAGGGTGGCCCGGCGGACTGTCTGTGTCGCGGCATCGAGGGTGGACCGGCGGACTGCCTGTGTCGTGGCATCGAGGGTGGCCCGGCGGACTGTCTGTGTCGTGGCATCGAGGGTGGACCGGCGGACTACCTGTGTCGTGGCATCGAGGGTGGACCGGCGGACTGCCTGTGTCGTGGCATCGAGGTTGGCCCGGCGGACTGCCTGTGTCGTGGCATCGAGGGTGGTCCGGCGGACTGTCTGTGTCGTGGCATCGAGGGTGGACCGGCGGACCGGTCTGTGTCGTGGCATCGAGGGTGGCCCGGCGGACTGCCTGTGTCGTGGCATCGAGGGTGGACCGGCGGACTGTCTGTGTCGTGGCATCGGGGGTGGCCCGGCGGACTGCCCGTGCCGCGTTTGTAAGGATTGGCCCTGATCTGGACCGCCAGGGCGGTTGAAGGCATAGGACGCGCTTGTATGATGTCAGAGAGTGTTCTGTCATTGAAGCACATCAAACCATCAGCATCCAATCCGCTGCGAGCGGTGGTATGAGTCAACCAGAATGCGACCAATGTCGCTCTTCAGAAGCTGGTCTCGAAATCCTAAATCGAGAGGAATTTAGTTGTGAACAGTAATATTGCGTGCACTCAGGCAGATATTTCCTTCCCTAAAAGCATTCGCGTCCCTCGTGCAGTTTTGGTCAGAGTCGCTGATAACTAACTTAAATAAAAATTAAATAAAATAATAAAAATTATCCAAAATTCATGGAGTTCATCCTGGCGTTTAACCAGTGTGCCCGGGAAAACCCAAAGCTAGCCAGGTCTTCAGACGGTGCGTGCCACTAATAAGCGCTCGACACCACCCCAGGGAACCATTCCCGGGTAGGCTATTGGCAAGACATCCTAATGCAGTGAGACTTGGCCCAAAGACACTTGGTCCGAAGCCCGAAGACATGTTCGGGCACACTTGATTCTCCTTCTGTGACAGGCATCGACATCATCTACAGAATGATAACATTCACCTCCGTTATCACCCTGCGTGTCACATTCGTACGTCGTACGGTACGTCGTGACTTTATCGACCTATGCTCCAGCGTGGTGCCTCCTCCGCGAAGCGTAAAACCACGGCCTCAGTTAAATGTATTATGGCCACCTAGCGGTAGATAGACGCAGGCTACGCTGTAACCACGCGCCGCTAGGTGTCGGCAGATGATCGCCGCCCCAATGGTGATGAAGCGTGGCGACCCCTGACTAAAAGCATGGTGAAATGTGGTGTGGGATAAAAACTGATGACTTCAGAAAGCAAGGCACGTTCTTTTATTTCGTTTTACTCCAAATCTCAACACATTCCCCAAACACGAAATACAAAACAAAGGACTGTTTTACCCCGTTTCAAGCAGGGAATAGCGCCAAACACCACAGTAAACGTTACATTTCAGTTTTACTTGTCTGACGAGACGCTTTCCACTGTACTCTCTATAATGGCATTGAATATCAAAAGAAAGATCAGTCGTTATTTATTGTTGACGTTTAGGTAAGTGGTGCAATATTATACTCCTGCATTTGCTATTTTGACATGTTTGCGATACAATATCGAATCTATTGGTGTGAATTCATGCAGGGTGATGAGGAACCATTGACTACATGTGCTTAGGTCTACATGGACTACAGGACTACATGCTTAGGTCTGCACGCTTTGCGCAGTAAATCAAACACAAATCTAGCTCTTCGCCATGAGAGTACGGTGCCGGGTCATCCCTCACATCCCAGCTGCAGCGACTATATCCCGCCACACGATCCACCCACGCCGCATGGTCCTGCGGTAGCTCCACACAATACAAATTGACATAATTGCAACATACGGTCAGCATCATGCCACGGGAGGCCATTTTTTCTCTGCTGGAGACTGCTTGTGGCACTATGACGTCACACTATCGCTGCCTCCGGATTGCACAGGCACGCTTAATCCATACATGTTCTCTGCTCTCACCTTGGAGTTCAGTCTTCTGTCACGTTCTCATGCTATGGCTTTATGGGTAACTGTTACCTACGTTTGCCCTTTCACGGGAGTCCCGCGCATGAACGTCGCCGTCGTCTTGGTGCGCATCTTCGCCAGCAAGCGGCATCAGTTTCCGGCGAAGGTGCCCCTGACGCTGTCCAGGATGTAGTTCAGGCTGCTGCTGACCGCCTCCGTGCTGCCCAGCCACCAGAGGAATGCAGTGTTGATCGTCAGCACGATCTGGATCGTGACGTAGTGGCGCGCGAACCAGCCGGCGAAGCCGCCGCCCGCCTCCTCCTGTCCCGGTGACGTCACCGCTGACGTCACTGGGACCGGAGCCGCTGCCGGCGGCGGTCCCCGACGCCGCTTCATCGTGCGCGGTCGGCAGGGGCTGAACGGGACCTGAGCTGGAGCTGGAGCTGAACTGAGCTTGCACTGAGCTTGCACTGAGCTGAGCTGAGCTGGGTTGAGCTGTAGAGCGCGGGACCGATTTGAAAATCCGCCTGTTCGCGCCCAGGAGCTTGGATCCCCGATACTGACAACTTTGTCGCCGAGTTAGCTTGGAGCCAAGGGGATACTGATGATGACCGCCGCCGACGTCCGACCCGTTCCCGATGCGCCGGAGGTCGCGGCGGCGCGTGGATGACGTCCCTCGGCTGCCGGGCGGTGCTCAGCTCCCGCCGGCGACGCCGCGAGTCGCGGCGTCGCTGACTAACCGAGTTGGTGGCGGCGGCGCAACGGGGTGCGGTTGCGGCGAGGGCGGCCGCGAGGGATCCGCCGGTCTGACGTCCGGATCCGGACACCGTCTGGATCCGCCGGCGTCAGGATCACCAATCGGGTGCTCCACTTCTGGACGGGACCGCTGCTGAGTTACGCGGGCCCGGAACACCGCTCAACGTGTGCACAGCAGCGGAATCTCTTGGCACCCGGCCCCACACGCCTATCAGTCGCCTCACTTGAACAGGTGCCGTCTTATGCGCCGTTTCTGGACATCACTGGGTTCTCCACCAACTGGCGATGTTCACGCAGGATGACTGGACGCCCGGAGCACCGCTGAGATCCCCCAGCTGGACGCCCAGAGCACCGCCGAGATCCTCCAGCTGGACGCCCAGAGCACCGCTGAGATCCCCCAACTGGACGCCGAAAGCACCGCCGAGATCCCCCAACTGGACGCCCAAAGCACCGCTGAGATCCTCCAGCTGGACGCCCAGAGCACTGCCGAGATCCTCCAGCTGGACGCCCAGAACACTGCTGAGATCCTCCAGCTGAACGCCCAGGGCACCACTGAGATCCTCCAGCTGGACGGAGCACAGGGCGCGCGCGGCCGGCGCTCGGAACCCGGCCGACTCAGACCGCTGATCCAATCAGCCGCCCAGAGCGGGCTTCCCCTCCCCCCCCCCCCCCCCGGGGGCAAGGCGGAGCACGTGCGGGGCTTCCGCCGCAAGGCCGCGAGTGGTGGAGACGGCGCTGATTTCGGCACTGGGTTGGTCAACGGTACATTTGTATTGTTCTTGATGCTGCTTGATGCGCAGTAATGCTGTGACCGCGCGCAGTAATTGCGCTGGTGTCGCGGGTGCTGTGTGTCTGCGGCGCTCGGGAGCTCGCCATCGTGATTGTAAAAAATTCGAAGGTAAGAGCATGAATCTACCTGTTTTGTGATTATTTACGATATGTCCTGCCTTAAACACGACGAATGGTGTACAATGATTTTTTCTAACGTTAGGTAGGAAAGTACACCCTGACCGTACTGGCAGCAATATTGTAAGGTTTGCCTGCTCGATTTAGCTGATCCAAACCGTTTTACTGAGGGTGAGGTCCCCTCGGGCGTTATGATGAACAGCAGGTTCGTGCAGAGAGAGGGGACCCAGTGGGACAGCACCAGTAGCATCAGGTGCTGATAGTAAGTTGTTTTTAGTAGAGTGCTGCATTTCCAGAAAATTTGTTATAATCACACACACACACACACACACACACACACCACACACACGCACGCACGCACGCACGCACGCACGCACGCACGCACGCACGCACGCACGCACGCACGCACGCACGCACGCACGCACGCACGCACGCACGCACGCACGCACGCACGCACGCACGCACGCACGCACGCACACACACACACACACACACACACACACACACACACACACACACACACACACACACACACACACACACACACACACACACACACACACACACACACACACACACAGTTCATGACTCCCAGGCTCATGTTGTCTGGGATTTACCATGTCCTGTGCCCCTGAGTGGTGTCCCACATTACCAAAAGAGCACAGCAACTCAACTGATGCAAAGGTGCTCTTGCCAGGTGTTGCATGTGATCTCAAGCCTATCGAGATGAACTGGAATTTGAGGAGGAATGTACTGG